AAATTAATAGTTACAGGGATAGATATTAGAGGAGCAATTACATAGACACTCTGATCAGTGGAGCAATCTATAATTAAGGTCTGTATTAGTCAAGATTCTTCAGAGAAAAAGAACCTGTAGGATCCATCAATTTATTAAGAGGAATTGACTAATGAAATTATGGTGGTAGACCAAGGACAGTTGGTGGTAGAGATGTAAGAACTGAAGAGCTGATGGGATTGAAGTCCCAGTCCTGGGAAAAGCCTGATATTCCAGAAGAAGCAGTCAGAGAAAACAAATTTCTCTTCCTCCATCTTTTTATTTTATTCAGGCCCTAAAGGATTTGAATGTTGTTCACCAACACTGGAGAAGGTAATGTTCTCCACTCAGTCTATGGATTCAAATTAATCTCATCTGGGAATACCCTGATAGATACAGTCACAAATAATGTTTACTTTGAGCACTCTGTATCCCTAGTCAAGTGAACAAAAAAACTAACCACTATACTTTCTATGGATATTTAAGGACAAAGAATAAGCAAGAAACAGCCATAGGAAGACTTTTCAGACAAGAGGGCAGACTTAAGATACTGATCAAGGAAAACAAGCTTTATATTTGAAGAAATAAAAGGTGAGGAGGAGGAAGATAATGGGCCAAAATGAGAAAAGTACTGATAAATTTGAAGAAACAGGTAAGTTTAGGTGGATATACAGTCTTATATATTAGTTTGAAATACACAAAATAACCAACTCAATATGGCTAAGTGAAAAAGTTAATTTAATCATTCCCATAACTCAAAAGTTCTCAGAAAAGATTCACTTCAGATGAAGAAGCTATAATAATAAAGATTTACCGACATCTAGTTTCTCTCTCTTCTTTTGATTCTACTTCCCTCTGATGGTTCTTCCCTCCCATGTTTGGAGCAAAATGATATCCTTCCTCATTACTGCCAATAAAAACCTCTAGTAAAGTCTCTTTGATTTGTTACATCATGTACCCATTCCTTAAGTGATTGTGCTTTTGTCTGGTAAATATGGTGCTTATATTACCTAGGTCACATGCGATCTCTGGAGGAGTCTGGAGGCTTATATAAACTGTTTTGGAGAAAAAATAATTTATGGGGGCTGGAGAGATGGCTCAGCAGTTAAGAGCTCTTGCAGAGGATTTGGGTTCAATTCCCACCACCCAACATAGTGGTTAAAAACTGTCTATAACTCCAGTTCCAGGGGGTCCGACGCCTTCCTCTGACCTTTGCAGACATTGAATGACATGGGTGCGCTTACATACTTGCAGGCAACATACTCATATACAAAAAATAAAAATAATAAATTTTAAAAATATTTAAAAATTAAGTAATTTACCTTTGAGAGGACAGTTCTAGTAGTGTAAGAGGACTAAAGCAGTCAAAAGAATCCCACACAAAAATATAATTGTTAGAAGGAAAAAAAACCTGGCCAGGGCTATAGTGCACACCTGTAATCCAGCACTTGGGAGGTAGAGGCAGGAGGATCAGGGATTCAGATCATCCTCAGCTACACAGGAAGTTTGAGGCTAGCCTAGATTACATGAAAACATGTTTTTAAAACAAAACAGGACTGGAGAGATGGCTCAGCGGTTAAGAACACTGGCTGTTCTTGCAGAAGACCCAGATTCGAATCCCAGCACCCACATGACAGCTAACAACTGTCTGTAACTCCAGTTCAAGGGGATCCAACAGCCTCCTCTGTCCTCCGTGGGCATTGCAAGCCATAGGTGCACTTACCTACATGCAGGCATAACACTCATACATATAAAATAAAAATAATAAAAACAAAACAAAAACAAAAAAAGGGGTAGGGGAGACAGCTCAGTAAGTAAAATGCTTGCCTGAAAACCTGAATTCAATTCTTAGGATCTATGTAAAAACCCAAGTGTGATGTTATATCTCTGTAATATCAGTGCAGGGAAGGCAGATACAGGAGGATCCCTGAGGCTTGTTGGCCAGTCAGCCAAACTTACATGGCAAGCCCCACATCCCAATGAAATACCGTGTCTCAAAAGACAAAGTGGACTGCTCCTGAGGCATGCCACCTGAGGCTAACCTCTGGCTTTCACATGCAGACACACACACACAGAGAGCCTGCCTTAAAAGAATGAGAGAGAGAGAGAGAGAGAGAGAGAGAGAGAGAGAGAGAGAGAGAAAGAATGAACGAAAGACACCGAAAAGCATCCAAAATCAGAGAAAAGTCAGAGGAAAGTATCTGGAACTAGAAGTATGGTATCTAGTGGTATGGCTGTCAACATGACACACCTGGGAAGACTTCATTTGAGGAATCCTCTTCATCAGATTGGCCTATGGGGCTTTTTCTTGATTGTTAACTGATGTAGGAGAGGCCAGGCAACTGTGGGTGGTACCAACCCTAGGCAGGTGAGTCTGGGCTTTATAAGTCAGGTAGCTAAACACAAGCCTGAGTGCAAGCCACTAAGCAAAATTCCTCTATGGTTTCTGCCCTGCTCAAGTTCCTCTCCTGACCTTGGTCAATGGTGGAATGTAACCTCTAAGATGAAATAAAACCTTTCCTCCCCAAGTTGGTTTTGGTCATGGTGTTTACAAAACAACAGAAAGTAAACTAAGAAAAGTGATTTGATGGCTTCCTGGGTCAATGATAATCTAACAGAGAGCTACTGTGAAAATAGTGGAACTGAAAACAGCAAGCTGATCTGCTCCAAATACAAGAAGTTTGAATTCAGAGCTAAATAAACATCTGAAAATTTGAAGGGGGAAGTATTGGTGATGAGTAACCACAAACAGAACAAGTTCAGAGTTTAAAGCACCTAAATGTCCAGCAGTGAGGACTCTGCATGACTGGAGAAAGAACTGGCAAACAACATATAGAAGCTACTCTTGAAAGGTAAATATATGCAGCAGATAAAAAATAAAATTTTTAAAACTTCCAGAAACATTAATAAGGGAGAAAAACAAGGCAATGATTACCAGGGTGGGGATAAGAGATTAAAAACAACAGTTTTGTGGTAGGTTTTTGTCTGCTTGAATTTGTTGGGTCTTGTGCATGCCAGCGTAGAACTGTGGAAATGAGCAGCAGGCCCCAAACTTAGTCAAAGAACTACTGGCAGCTGATTACTGCTGGGTGAGGAAAAGCTAATCTTAAGGGCTCTAGATATGCTGACTAGACCTCAGCAGATGAATTTGCACCAAGGGATATCTAGGGACACTAGACTTGATAGGCCTTAACACAAATGACAGAATGAATGAAATGTATCCCAGGCAGCCCTCCAATTTGTAATCATGCTCTTTAATCTGCAAATAAAAATGAGAAAAATTTTATTTATTTATTTATTTATTTATTTATTTATTTATTTATTTGGGGTGGGTGAGAGTACATGGGATTGTAGATGAGGTGGTTATGACAGCAGCTTGAACTGCACCACAGTTAATTTCCTTAATTTGGCAGCAGTATTCTGAGTCATTCATGGGGACCAGCGGCAGTTACTCGATAGTTTTGTAACTACCTAATTCCTTTGATTACATCTCTTTCTTCTTAAAAACAGCAATTTATGTTATTTTTAGCTGACCTGACTGATATGTAACCAAACAGAGTTCCAAACTCAAAACTTCAATTTTATGTGTTACACTGGCCTGATGTCTAACAAACATGTACTTTTCAAAGTAATACTAAATGAGAATGTTGGTGTTCCTGCAAAATTCCCAAGCTCAGACTCCAATAAGACAGCATAATGAAATAGGACATTTTTGGAACTAGGTTGGGGAACTGCGTCCTCATGCTTGGGTTTAGTGCTCCCATAAGAAAAGGTTAAAGGAACTGTGCTCTATAGCTATTTCCTCTAACTTCAAATATTCCCTCCTGGAGGCAAGGGAGAGGCTCAAATGAGTAAGTAAAGAAAACTTACAAGACTCAGAAGTTCCTGAAACTTCCTCCCTTGGATTATAAAAGCAGGTAATGACTGCTGGGAAGAGGGGAATTCTCCAGCATGCAGAGCTGCCTTCAAGTTGTGCACAGAGCTGAGCTCCAGGAATGTAACTTTCATGATATGTCAACCATGCAAGGGTGAGCATTTTGGTGATGTGCAGTGTCTTTGAGTTACCTATGCTGTTGTAAGTAACTCCTCACCAAACTCCTATAAGTAACCCATATAAACTCAGTGGTTCATTGAGGTAAACTTCAGTGGAACTGTTTCTTTGATTTGCCTTAGATGTTCTGTCTGGGGTGAACAGATGCTTATTTAGGTCTCCCTGCCAAAATTCAAGCAATGCCTTCTTTTAAGTTTTGCAGTGATTTCTTGAGGGCCTATACCATATGCCCCCGAAAAAGCCACACAAGAAACTGCCTTGCTCCCTTTTCCACCATGTGAGGAAAGAAGATGCCATCTTTGAAGAAAAAAGTCTTCAATGCTACGGTTTGGATAAGGTTTGACCCCTAAAATGTCATATGAAGGAAGTTTGGATCCCAGTGCAATAATACAGTATTAAGAAGCAGGGTTGGAGAGATGGCTCAGTAGTTAAGAACACTGGCTGCTCTTGAAGAAGACCTGGTTTCGGTTCCCAGCATCCACATGGCAGCTAACAATTGTCATGGGTGCACTTACATACATGCAGAAAAACCCTCATGATACACATAAAATAATAAATAAAATATTTTTTAAAAAGAGGTGATGGATCTTAAAGAAGTAGAACCTAATGGAAGATGGTTGAGTCATAGGATACCACCATCTAAAGCAGTTAATGTAGTTCTCACAGGACGAATTTAGTTCTCATGAACAGTAGGTTGTTACAAAGCAATGTTACCTTATGTATTTGGTCCTTCTCCAAAAAACTGCTTCCCTTCCTAATTCTCTACCATGTCTATTGTACCCAGGGGTCCTTCGTCAGACACCATATATCATGTTTGTACTTTCCAGTAACCAGAATGGCAGGCCAAATAAGTCTCTTTTCTTATATAGTACTTTAGAAAGTACCCAGCAAGAATTTGTAACAGTAACACAAAACAGACTAAGAAACTCACCAGACTGAACTGAGTCAGGCTGAACTTTGATCTTGGACTTCCCAGCTTCCAGAACTGTGAACAATAAATTATTATTAGTTATAAATTAGCAATTATGTAATATTTTGTTATAGTAGCCTGAATGGACTAAGCCATGAGGTAAAAGAAATCTTGAAAATACATGCTTAACATTGGAGGTAAAGGAAGGTTTCTTCAATAGGAAACAAAAACAATTATAAATATTGACAAATTTGACTACATTAGAATTGAAAGTTTATCAAAAGACAATATTCAATAAACATACACATATACATATATACAACCAGTCTAGGAAAGTTATATCCCACACATAAAACTTCAAAGCACCTCCATACTCAAGTGCCAAGGATCTGAGTGTAACCAACTGTGACAAGAAATAATGTACATAGAGATTAGAGGCGCATGTGCAAACATCTAAATGTTAGTAGCATTAAAAATGAGTCTTTCTGTAGGAAACAGTGTATTTTAAAATGAAATGGAGATTTTTCTTTAAAGGTTAAAACCTCATTCAATTTTATGTCTTATAGGGTTTATACTGAGTTCAATATTGTATAACTGTATTAATTCAACTGTGAACCTAAAAATTTACAGCCACTTTTGAAAGAGATGTATCTTTGCTCTGGAAATTGTTACTGAATATGTTAAAGCTGTAATGAAATGCTTCTTCTAATTATGTGGTTATTAAATAAGTAAAAAAGCACCTAGTAATATATAATTCATAAATGTTTAAAGAAAAATAAAACTCACTAGAAATATGAAGCAAAGCCCTAAACTGGCAGAGAGAGAGAGAGAGAGAGAGAGAGAGAGAGAGAGAGAGAGAATGAACTCAGGAGGCTAAAATCTTATAAAAGATGAAAGGCACTTAAATGAAACACTACTTCACTGGAAAAAAAGGAAAAGAAAAAAAACCTCAAAGTCTGACAATTCCAAGTGCTGGGGGAGGAACAGGATCAGAACTGTAAAATATACTGGCTGTAAAACACATTGGTATTATGGATGCCAGACGCACATGGTACAAGCTTATATGTATTGGCATCATATATAATGAAGTTGTAACAGCATTGATTGTAATTGACAAAAGCTGGAAACATTTCAAAATTTGCACCAACAATATCATAGCTATATAAATACATATATATATACACATACATAATATATATATTAAATATCTTATACGCTTACAAATATATTCCTTTTTTATATATCTCATTATGGCATCCTTCAGTAAACACACCCAAGGCATGTTAGGGCTTCTCTGTCTAAATATCTCTCTATCCAAATCCAGTCTTTATTCCCATATATCCCATTCTAATTTACCCCCAAGTATCTATAGAACTTTGTTTCTTAACCCATTAACAGAATTCCTTAATTTGGGCCCATATATAAGTATAAACATAACTCTTTTTTGCTTCTAATTGTATATCTATTACAAACAGATGCTCCACATGCTTTTAGAAGTATCAATTTGAAAGCAATGTGACTATATAAATCTGTTCTTATTGGACAAAGTATAAATAAAGGTAACAGTTATAATTTACTAGGCACAAACTATATTATATATCACTATCTATCATCATTTTATAAAGCAGGTGTTATACCTATATTTAAATGAGGCAACCGAATCTTAGAAAAGGTAATTCACAGAGCTAATTAGTGGACAAGCTAAGATTCAATGTCAAGATATTTTGGCTGCAAAGTCTTTGCTTTTAATCTTGACACTATTTTGCATAAATTCCTAAAAATGCCATATTTAGATCAAAATGATTTGGTCATGGCCTACTCCCCAGCTTGACTTTCTTCCTGTCTCTGTCGTCCACACAACCACAGTACATATCCTCAATTCATTTCTCCTAATAGAATAATTTTATTCAGGACAGTAATGTCTTTTTCTTTCTTTTTTTTTTGGTCTTTTTGAGACAGGTCTCCCTGTAGCCCCAGCTGGCCTGGACCAGACTGGCCTTGAACTCACAGAGATCCACCTGCCTTTGCCTCTGCCTCTGAGTAATGGGATTAAAGGCATATTCTGTTAGGCCCGGCCTAGTAACATGCTTTCTTAAAAACTATTCTTCCAGTTGCCTGAAAGCTTTGGTTTCCTTATGTTCATGCACCAACCCTGGCTCTTACAATCTTTCCACCCCCTCTTCCGCCATGGTCCCTGAGCTGTGGGTGTGTGAGATTTAATACAGGAGTCCTATCTAAGGACAAATACTCTGCAGTCTCTTATTCTCTAAAACTTAGCCAGTGTGGTCTTCTGTGTGCATTGCACTCTGTTGTATGGGGAAGTTATGCTGATGAGAGTTGAGAGATACATTAGTATTCTCTCTACCTCTGTTCCACTATGTTCCATCAGCCTCAGGTGTAAAGGTTCCACTGCTGAAGTTGTAGCAATGCTAAAAGCATGCACAAGACCCACGCCAACTCAATCAGACAAAAACCCAATGCTGACAACACAGTGGACAGTAACAGGGATGACAGAGTATATGGACTCCAGTGTGTGTGTGTGTGGGGGGGAGGCTATGGGAGGTGCCATTTGGGAAGTGGGTATATAGATGAATAAGATTGTTTGGGATGCTCTGTATGATATACACACACACAAATAAATCAACAAATTTAAAAAAGACATATTTGAAGAGGAAGCATAAAAATTTACTTCATGTTAAATAGTAGAGGTGACAAACATTACCAGTGAAATCTACCTGATGACTTTATATCCATACTCAGGTACTAAGGAGCCAAGTATAATCGACCATGATTAGTAATAATCAGATACATAGAGATTAAAGACACATGTGCAAACATCTAGGCGTTGGTAGCATTAAAAACGTAGAAAACAGCATATTTTAAAATGAAATGGAGATCTTCTTTAAAGGTTAAAAACTCATTCAATTTTATGTCTTACAGGGTTTATACTGAGTTCAATATTGTATAACCATATTAATTCAACTGTGAACCTAAAAATTTACAGCCATTTTTGAAGGAGATGTATCCTTACTCTAGAAATTGTTACTGAATGTGTTAAAGCTGTAATGAAACACTTCTTCTAATCATGTGGTTATTAAATAAAAATTTTTTAAAAAGAATGGGGGAAATGGGCAGCAAGCCCCAACCCTAGCCTAGGAACTATCGGCAAATCATTACTGTGGGGTGAGGGGGAGTAGATCTTCTTTAAGGGCACGACTCTAGATAGGCTGACTAGGCTCTAGTCGATGAACTTTCACTAAGGGGCACCTGGATAGAAATGCTTGACCGGATAGGACTTAATATTTATGAAAAAATACCTGAAATCTGGTGGGATAACTTATGGGGGGTGGGGGCAAGGAGGGAGTCTAAATTTGATTAAGATGTATTATATGAAATGTACAAAAACTCAATAAAAATATTAAAAATGAAAAAAAACCACTTCTTCCAAGCTGGGCATGGTGGTACACACCTTTAGTCCTAGCACTTGGCAGGATGCAGATGGATCTTTGTGAGATGGAGCCTAGCCTGGTTTATATAGTTCCAGGCCAGCTGTGGTACAGGGAGACTTGGTCTCAAAAACACCTATTTTTCTTAGTCTTCCTGGAAGCCAAGCTTACTGCTCACAAGGTTCTGAAAACATACTTTAAGTGGAAATCTCTGATGAAGTTTCTGGGAAAACTCAAAAAGGATTCAAACTCTGCTGGCATGCAACTTTAACCTTCCCCATTCCCCTTCCTTCGTAGGAAACAAAGTTCTAGGTGGAACAACCCTTGTGAAGCTATGAGGTATACATGTGAGTTTAAAAACCTCGAACTTCAGGAGACAGAACTGAAATTAGGAGACTGGGTATATGTCATTTCCCACTTCAGGTATGTGATGACACTTCCAGCTTCAGGCATATAACCATACTTCCCACTTCAGATGTAGGATGACACTCCCCACCTCCGGTATAGGATGACTTTTCCTCCTCTCAGAGCTGATCAATGGGTGATGCATTTAACATGCTTTCCCATCATAGTTAATCACTGGTGTAACAAGCATCTTTCCTGACAGCACTCAAATTGCAATCAACTTGCAATTCCTCAAGAGACCCTGATTTGACACACATTTGTAGCTAACTGAAATAATGACAGAAATGTTAAATTTTGAAAGAAAGTACACCTACTGCAGCTGTAACTTGAGAAGTTTTCCATCATCAGTTTTATAGATTCTGCCTGTGCTTCAGCTTTTGCTTAGAGGGATGTACCTCAAAAAATGTACTGGAAAATAATTTAACTACGGTAGGGATTAACTGTCATTTAAATTTCTCAAAAATTCTTCTCTGTATCAGGTTAAATAACCAGAAATCTCAAACAAATGTACTCTGTGAAGTTAATTTATGAAATTATGCTTAAATAGCATTCTCAGCCTTTACCTGTAACCCATATGTGGGGAGGTATCTGAGTATCTGTAAATCTGCCTACAGTACATATCAAATGACATTTTATACAAGGTTCTGAGGGCATTATTCACCACCACATTCAAGGCAGAGAAAAGGCTGTCTTTTTTTTTCTCCCTGAGGAACTAATATACTTACTAGTACTAGCCAAGTAAGCCTGTTTCCCCTTTATTTAGCCATTAACTCATTACATTTTTTGTTCAGTATCTTAAGTCTTGTAGGGTGTAATGATCCATGCCTATAATCCTGGCACTTAGGCTGAAGCAGGAGGACTACAAGTTCTAGGTCAGCCTAGGTTATACAGTTAACATCTGTAAATAATTGTTTAAAAAAAGAAAAAAAAAGTCTTCAGCTATGACCTTTCTATTTTTTATAACCAGCTTTTGATATTTTAGTTAACTTTTTATTTACTGTACCTATATATTTAGTAAAGACTGTCCCAAATTATTTTTTAGGAGTCAGCAGCTTATTTTTAAAAATATCATTTCTTCAGATTACAGAGATGGCTAAGTGGTTAAGAACACTTGCTGTTTTTCCATTGGACTGGGGTTAGATTCCCAGTACCCATATGGCAGCTAACAACCTTCCATAACTCCTGTTCCAGGGAATCTTACATCCTCTTTTGGCTTCTGAAGGC